CAATAATATCTACTAAACTTATCTTTGAATTTGAAATAAAAACATAATTTATTTTAATAAATCCTTTCATAGCCACACTCTTTAATCAATCTCCTCGCTTACAACCCTTAACAAATAAATAAAATAAAAATTCTAACTCTAGAGAAAAAAAGGTTTTTAATTTGTAAGCCGACAACCCAAGTAGTATATTTATTATCATTTCTAACGTCCACAAATTGATATTAAAAATAATTTTTTTTTTTTGATGCGAAATCAAAAAACTTGTATTAAGCTCCGGCAAACACCAAGGGAAACTCCTGATGTGCCTCTCAAACAATTACAATAGAACCAAAAAAACCTATCAAAGTGTGCTAACTATATGCTCTAATTCTGCCTGGAGGACAGGGTTACTGGACACTCTATAAGTAACTTCAGCTAACACCTGCTTAGCTAACACATCAGGGGGTCTTATCCCTGTAGAACCATACATTCTATTACATCGTTCACGCCAAACAAAACTGACTATCGAACACCACAGCAATCGACATAAATCATGCTTTGGAGACACTTTACCCCACTGCTGAGAACACCAGGACACCACTGCAGGCCAGTCCCCTTCCCCTGGAGGAGCCAACTGCTTCAAACAGCTCCTTAGAATCGACCTAGTGTAAGAGCAAGATACCAGGAGGTGGTTGCGAGTCTCCATACCACCTGGACAAAGAAGGCAAAAACCAGAAACCTGTTTGCCCCAAGATAAGAGTTTATCCTGCATAATCAGTCTGTCATGCATAGCCATCCATAGTGTAAACCCATGTCTAGGAATGATTTCCTTAGACCAGACCAGCCTACGCCATGCCACAACTTGCTGATGTTCCCTTATAGCCTCCCAAACTCTTTTTACCGAGTATTTCTGCATCCTCTGCCCTTGCCATAACAGATTTGGAGGATCTCCTGAAATGTGAACAGCAGCAAAACTTCGACACTTCAATAATTGCCGCCATATCCATGTCCCTGCAGATGAAATTGACAAATCCCATAAGCTCCTCTGCTTCAATCTATAGCGAGAAACCCAAGCTACCCAGAGTGAACCACCACTTGTTAGGATCTCCCATACATGCCTGAAGATACATGCTTTGTTCCAGAGCCGAAAATTCCTGATACCCAGACCACCTTCACGCTTAGGCAGCGCAAGCTTATGCCAAGCCATAACAGCTTTCTTTCTTACACCCCCCTCTGCTGTATCCCAAAGAAATTCATTGCACAGTCTTTCTACTTCCTTAATAACATACTTAGGAAGCAGAAAGATATTGAGCCAATACTGTAATGTACTTGAGATGACAGACGAGATCAACTGTACTCTTCCTGCATATGTCAATAGGCGAGACCGCCAACTTCTAAGTCTCTGAGTAATTTTATCAATCAACACCTGACAATCATGCTTAGTAAGCTTGCCAGTTATCAAAGGAACACCTAGGTATCTAACAGGAAGAGAGCCAAGGGGAAACCCAGTAATAGTAGAGATAAACTGCTGCTCTTCCTTTGATATACCAGCACAGAACAACTGGCATTTTGCTGCATTACACTTCAAACCAGACAGAATATAGAATTCATCCATCAGCCTCCTTATACCCGCCACCCCCCTCACTGACCCATTCGTGAAAACCATCAAGTCGTCCGCAAAGCAAAGGTGCGTAATCATTAATGGTTTACAGCGCGGGTGGAAGGGGATCTGATTTTCTCTTGCTGCTTTTCGAGCCAGCCCATCCAGGACTTCCATTGCTATAGTAAATAGGTAGGGTGACAAGGGGTCACCCTGCCTTAAACCCTTTCTAGCCCGAATATTTCCACACAAACCCCCATTCAAAGAAACCTTGATTGTAGGAGTAGTAACACAAGCAGTAAGAAGTTTTAAGAAACCAGAGGGGAACCCCATTGCTTCCATCACAGTAAACAAAAATTGCCAATTAACTGAATCGAAAGCTTTCATGATATCTATCTTGACCACACATCTAGGACTCAAATTTTTATAATGGTAATTCCTAACTAGTTCAGAAACTAATAGGATGTTATCACTGATAGCCCTGCCTTTGATAAACGCAGTTTGAGACCTACTTATCACACTGGGAAGCACTTGAGCAAGCCTGTTTGCCAAAATTTTTGAAATCCCTTTGTACAACGTGTTACAACACGATATAGGACGGAAATCCTTCATGTGTTCAGCACAAGGAACCTTAGCAACCAAAGTAAATATAGTGCTGTTCACTATAGTAGGCATAATACCAGAGGAAAAGAAAGAAATAGCTACCTCTTCCACCTCTCTCCCAATGATGTCCCAATGAGCTCTGAAGAACTCTGCAGGAAACCCATCAGGGCCTGGAGCCTTGTCACGACCAAGGGAAAAGAAGACTCCTTTAATTTCCTCTCTTGTGATTCCCCTCATTAGAACCTCACCTTCCTCCACAGATAGTTTATGCTGTAAAAGTGCCTGATAAAAAGCTACTGGCTGCTGCTTAACCTGCGGATCCTCAGTCCCAATCAGTTTAGAATAAAACTCCACAGCAACTGCACCTATCTCTTGAATATCAGAAACCACTTCCCCCTGGTCATTCCTCATCCTGGTAATCTGCTGCTTTAGCGTCTTAACCTTGACCAACTTGTGAAAGAAAGCTGTATTGGAATCACCATCCTGTATAACCTGAGACCTTGATTTTTGCTTATAATAGAGTTCTTCAGCCTTCCTTAACTCTCCATACTCCAACCCCAGTTGCTGCTCTGCTTCAATATTCAACTCACCAGGATCATTCAATACTTTTTCTTGTGCTTGGGCTAGTGCAATAGCTGCTGCCTGAACTCGACAAGAAATATCAGAGTATACCACTCTATTTAGCTGCCTCAGCTCCTTCTTCACTTGAGAAAGCTTACCATAGAAAACATAATAGGGGAAACCCACAACCTTCTTCCTCCAAGCATTCTGGATAATATCAAGGTAACCAGGATGGGATTGCCAAAATACAAAATACTTAAACGGCTTAGGGAGGGTTTTCAAATTTGGAGCAGTATCTATAATCAGACCGCAGTGATCTGATACCCCAGGGGGGTTAGAATAAGCAGAGCTATCAACAAACCTTTCCAACCAAATGTCATTAACAAGTATTCTGTCAATTCTTCGAGCAATTGGATTGTTCTTCTGACGGTTCCACCAAGTAAACCAGCAGCCAGTTGTCTTATGCTCAGTCAACTCCATACCTTGAATCCAACTTCGGAAATCTTGCATACTCTGAGTAATCACCTGGGAACTTGAAGTCTCAGTCACTTCAGCTATGGCATTGAAATCCCCCATATAAACCCTTGGCAGCCCATTATCTTTCCCTCCAATCAGCTCCTGGTACAAATTACGACGCTCTTCTTCCTTGTTGGGGCTGTAAACAAACACCACACTAAACGGCTTAACATCATCGACCCTAATATGAATATAATGCCTTCCTTCATCCACCAAGGTAACTGGCAACCCTGCCCTCCAGAAAATCCAAACTCTACCACTATCAGACTTAGCATAATTTGATAAATGCTTCCAGGCAGAAAAACAACCCTCTACTATAGTATTTTTATTTACCTCCTTTACCCTAGTCTCTAACAGACCTACAATATCTATATGCCTCTCTCTCAGCTGCTGCAAAACTGCTGAGTGTTTATCAGGGGCATTGAAACCCCTGATATTCCAGCTGAGGATCTTCATTTGCGTCTCTTCCCTCTCCCTCTCCCTTTAGGAGGAGAAGGGGGAGGTGGCTTACCAGCAACCCGCACAGACTTCCCAGTGACCTGACCAGCAGCAATTTTGTTCGATAAACTTCTTGGCCCCTGAGAAATCGACCCTGACCCAATCCAGACTTTGTTCTTCTTGTTAACGACCAGAGTAAACCCGTCTGCATCAACCAAACTCCCTTGTGGGGGAGGAGTGTTGGTATCAGCAGACTGAATGGCACATACAGAATCCTCAATCAAAACCGCCTTACCCTTATCAACCGCAACCACCATAGAGACATCAGCACTCTCAACAACTGGAGCTTCTTTAGGTTCACTCTGCCCTGCACTGCTTTGATCTGAATTAGTTACCTGAACCTCGCTAATTACTGGCACTTTCTTCTTCCATTCTAACTTCGCCCCTTCACCAGCGCTACTGCAATTATGCCCGAACACACTGCATTTTTCACATACCCTGGGCATATGACAATATTCAACTTCAATGAAGAGCTCAGGCAGACCATCCGGCGTTATACTCAGTCGCGAAACCTTCTTCGAACTAGCCTTAACCTCAACACAGACTTGAGCAAACCCCACCTTCTTACCTCGTGTAGTGGACTTATCCATACAAAGAGGACGACCCAGAGAACTTGCCACCCGCCCCAGCCCCTCCTTAGAAGTAAGCTCCGACGGCAGATGCGAGAGTTTCACCCAGATTGGCAAAGTCGAATTGTCCAGCTTCAGAGGACTAATCCCAGGTTCCCACTTACGCAGAAACAAAGGATTCTCCCTATGGTGCCAAGGCCCACTCTCGAATACCCACTGACAGATCTCGGCACTGGGAAATTGAAAGAGAACAAGCTTCCGCCCCATGCTCGATGCTCGAACTTCCCCATCCCTTCCCCATAGCCAATTTGCCCAGTAACGAATGGCCGATAGCGACGCCGGGCGATCGATAAATTGCCCTACCAGGCTGTTCTCCCAACGTTTCGCCCCTTCTTCCACCACCTCTCGCGGGATCCTTAGTGAACCATTAACGTACTCCGGCTCATAGTAATCCAGACGGTTATCTTCCGGAATCCCGAACAACGACACCCACGACCGGCCGTCACCAACGGCTGCCGCACCGTCAGTGACTTCATTTAAAAATAATTATTTAAATGAAATTATGCATTTTTCTATCAAATTCCGTACCAATTTCTAATTTATTATTAGATAAAAATACTTAAATTCTTCACCAACCAACCAACAGCCACCTGCTGGCTTCTCTCTCCCCTTTGCATTCTTCTTCTTCTCTCAATTTATTTCCTCTATATAACCTCGGAAACCTCCTCTTCTCGTGTCGTCGTCGCAGTAGATTACTCGTCTCGTCTGCTACCGTAAATTCTCCGAAAACCTCATAAATTTGTGAACATGGCGGAATCGGTGGAGCTCCCGAGTCGGCTGGCGATCCTTCCGTTCAGGAACAAAGTCCTCCTTCCCGGCGCCATCATTCGCATCCGTTGCACTTCGCCCAGCAGGTTTTGTCCTCACGAACTCTCTTTTCAGTCCCGCTCGCAACTGATTGTCAGCACGAATTAGCTAGGGATCGGTGGGGAGGCTCCGATTGATTGCTGAATTTTGCTTAATTTGATTGCTTCGGTTTCAGTGTGAAATTGGTGGAACAGGAGCTATGGCAGCGGGAGGAGAAGGGTTTGATCGGCATTTTGCCAGTTCAGGACGCTGCCTCCGATGCCGCGGAGGCCTCGGTGGGGTCCATGTTATCTCAAGGTTGGTAATGATTGCGAGAGCTCTCTTTCTTTTTACTCCTTCCTTTTTTTCTAGACGCCATTGACTTCTGTTTACATAACTGATGGACTTTCTTCGGATAAGTAGTGGCGATTTTATGTTTTATTCATTGACTCAAGACTTGGGAATGTAGGCGTTGGAAGTGAAACCGGGGGTGATAGAAGCTCCAAAGCTCAAGTGGGTACCTCGGATAATCTCAAAGTTGATGGCAAAAACCAGCAGGAAGTCATTCGTTGGCACAATAGGTTGGCTTCTTTTGTGGATTGCAGTCCTCACCATTGCTGGATTTCATGATCTTAATTGGTTCGCTCACTCAAGCTGTGATAATCGGTTTTGTCAGAGGAGTTGCTGCTCGTGCTTTGCATTTGTCAAGAGGGGTGGAGAAGCCCAGCGGGAGGGTGACTTACATAGTTGTGCTTGAAGGTTTATGCAGATTCAGTGTTCAAGAACTTAGCAAAAGGGGGATGTATTACACTGCGAGGATATCTCCTGTTGAGATGACAAAGATTGGTGCGTTTTTAACTTCATCCTCCTTGATTCCATAGAATGCAACAACAGAAAACAATTGCTCTGCATTTTGTCTGTCAATTATAGAGCTGGGTTATATGCCTTGAGGCATCATGTTGAACTTTAGCCATAGGTTCGTCAGGTTTATTTTTTCCTTCCAAGATGGTTTAAATCATATACGCATCATGATTGCCCTGTATAATTTCATCCATTACTAACTGTAAAACATTGGCCTTCTAGAGATGGAACAAGTGGAGCAAGATCCTGATTTTGTTGCGCTATCTCGCCAGTTCAAAGCAACTGCTATGGAACTTATCTCTGTTCTTGAGCAGGTAACATTAGTAAAGTAGTGAATCAATAAGGTTTTCTGAATCTTTCTTGCTGCCTACTTTCTCTTGGTTGATGAACAATGGAAACCCAGACGTAGGTAAACTGCCTTTATTTATGCTGATGGTCAACTGAAAACCTGACATTTCATTATGGCCATCTTTAAGTTCTGGTGTTGCTACCCTTTCAAAATTTTGAGCTCACAGTTGGGCTTGTCGGTCCATCTTTTGTGTACATCTCTGTGCACACTGTTTATCACTGGAGACATATTTGTACCATCTATTATATTCCAATTTCGGTTGACTGATGCACTAGGTTCGCAGTATTTCAGTCTTCATATCCTGTGTTTTGATTAACTTTGGTGTCCCATCATTTGGGGAACTCATGTTTTTGTTTATCCTCACAGAAACAAAAAACTGAGGGCAGGACTAAAGTTCTTTTGGAGACCGTTCCTGTTCACAAGTTGGCAGATATTTTTGTTGCTAGCTTTGAGATAAGCTTCGAAGAGCAGTTATCCATGTTGGACTCAGTTGATCCGAAAGTAAGGATTTTGAAAGCCACTCAGCTGGTCGACAGGCATTTACAGGTGATCAGTTAGTTGTAGCTAACATTTGGTGGATTCGATGGTGCTTTCTCAAGGCACCTAACATTTTGGAATCTGTCTTGTGTTTTCCTTGACAGTCAATACGTGTCGCAGAAAAAATTACCCAAAAGGTTGAAGGACAGTTATCAAAGTCACAGAAAGAATTTCTTCTACGTCAGCAGGTTAGCATTCTTTTAGAACTGTTAAATATGAGTTTATAGTGTACAGCAGCGTTGAGTTATAGCATTCTTCTACGTCATCGAGTATATGATATTTATGGCATTGAGCATCTGGATGATCCATGTTTTTGGGTTATTTATATGTTGGCTATATTAGTTTATAGTGTACATCAGTGTTGAGTTGTTTGGTGTTTCATGAAAACCTTACTTTAGATGCGGGCTATAAAAGAAGAGCTCGGAGACAATGATGATGATGAGGATGATGTTGCTGCATTGGAAAGGAAGATGCAGGCTGCAGGAATGCCTTCAAATATCTGGAAACATGCCCAGAGAGAATTGAGGTGAATTTTCCTTTGACCATTTGCTAATCTTCTGATGGACAGTTTAACATCTTTCTCGCAGAAAGAAGTGTACTCTAGTGTTCAGTCTTTTAGATACCATATGAACAACTTTTAGAAAAGGAGGATCCTTTTGTGCAATTTCAGTGCTATGTTGAAGAATTATTGATCTGTTGATTCTGTTGAAATCTGCTGTACTTGTACTCAAACTTCAGGCGGCTCAAGAAGATGCAACCTCAGCAACCTGGATATAACAGCTCACGTGTTTATTTGGAGCTTCTTGCTGAGCTTCCCTGGCACAAAGCAAGTGAAGAATCTGAATTCGACTTAAAAGCTGCAAAAGAACGTCTTGATAATGACCACTATGGTCTTGTCAAGGTCAAGCAACGGATCATTGAATATCTGGCCGTGCGAAAGGTTTGATAATCACCCCGTTAACTAGTGCCTTAGATGTTTCTTTTTGTGTATGTGTGTTGGTCATCCTGTTTATATATTTGTTTCTGTTATGAATTGTCTTGCAGCTCAAACCAGATGCAAGAGGCCCAGTATTGTGTTTCGTGGGCCCGCCAGGTGTTGGGAAAACATCTTTGGCATCATCTATTGCTGCTGCCTTGGGTAGAAAATTCATACGCATTTCTCTTGGCGGTGTTAAGGATGAGGCTGATATTAGAGGACATAGGAGAACATACATTGGGAGCATGCCAGGGCGTCTCATCGATGGCTTAAAGGTAGTAACTATGTTCCTGGACAAACCTAGACTGGACTCCTTGCATAGTCCCATTTGTTTTCTTTTTCCACTTTATCTTGGATATCATTCTTATGTAATGTCTTTATACTTCAAATTGAAATAGACCATTGATCAAGTTAAATTTTGGATTTTAGAGAGTGGGCGTTTGCAATCCGGTTATGCTGCTGGATGAGATTGACAAGACTGGCTCTGATGTTCGTGGTGATCCTGCCTCAGCTCTGCTTGAGGTTCTTGATCCTGAACAGAATGGGACATTCAATGATCAGTATCCTTTTCTTTTGTTTCTTCAGTTATTAATTTCTCTTGTCAGCTCCAAACTGTTTTAACAACTTATTCATTCTGATGTTTTGAGTGTCCTTGTCATGGTAAGTGACAACACTCAGAACTGAGAAATATTATAAATTTCAATATTAAAATTATATTTGAACATGCTGTGTTTTTGTTCCATTACTCCAGTGAACCTTAACTGAAGTTCTACAGCTATTTGAATGTTCCTTTTGACCTATCCAAGGTGATTTTCGTTGCAACTGCAAATCGGGCACAGCCTATTCCTCCTCCACTGCTAGACCGTATGGAAGTTATTGAGCTTCCTGGTTACACTCCTGAGGAAAAGCTCAAAATAGCCATGCGGCATTTGATACCTCGCGTGTTGGATCAACATGGATTGAGCTCTGACTTCCTTCAAATTCCAGAGGTAGTGAAACTATTAGCATATTGCTCTTTACCACTCATAATTCGACCTTAGTGGGCCCTGTGCTTGGGAGTGGAAGAGAAGCGAAAAGAACTAGACATGGTTTTGATACTTTTACTAAATAGCCTTTTTCTTATCCCGACGTGGCAGGATGTGGTCAAGCTTGTGATTCAGAGGTACACTAGGGAGGCTGGTGTTCGGAACCTAGAGAGGCACCTGGCTGCCTTGGCTCGTGCAGCAGCTGTGAAACTTGCAGAGCAAGACCAAACTGTCCCTTTGAGCAAGGATGTTCATCGGCTTGCCACACCATTATTAGAGAACAGACTTGCAGAGGGAGGTGAAATGGAAATGGAAGTCATCCCAATTGGTGAAAACACTCACGAAATATCCAACAGTTACAGAGTTGCTTCCTTGGTTGTGGATGAGGCCATGCTGGAGAAAGTTTTGGGGGTAAATAATACCACCAATCATTCCTTTTTACTTGATTATGATTGTAGTTTTTTTCGTTCTGTGCACTTTACCACCATTGCTTTTGACTTTAGTATGATTGGGCTTACCTTTGTCATTGCATAGCAAGGCTTACCTTTATTATTGGAGTACTGGTCCTAATGGTTACTTCATTGACAACTGACTGCCAATGTTACTGCAAGCTTTACCTACTAACTGCTATATGGGTTTCTAGTTCAACTTAAGTCATAAACAGAAAGACAGTAAAAATATTTAATCTTCTTGAAGTGCTATCGTTTCCGTCACTGGCGACCTTTTTGAGCTTGCTAGCACCTATTACAATGGTCTAGATACTCTTTACTAATATAATAGAAAGAAAAAGGTTCGTTAGTTGGTCTTAGCTGGTATTCCTGTAATGAACATGTTCATTTTACATGTAATGCAGCCTCCACGATTCGATGACAAAGAGGCTGCAGAACGTGTTGCCAGCCCAGGTATTGTGGTTGGGCTTGTTTGGACTGCCTTTGGTGGGGAGGTGCAGTTTGTGGAGGCCACAGCAATGGCTGGGAAGGGTGAATTGCATCTCACTGGCCAGCTTGGTGATGTTATAAAGGAATCCGCACAGATAGCACTGACCTGGGTAATATATGTTTTTATTAGATTTCTAACCCCATTTCCTATTCTGCAAATCCTTCTTTTTTGGCCGAGTACTGGAACTATCTTCTTATTTAGCTTTATATGTGTACCCTGTATCTCATAGGTGCGAGCAAGGGCAACTGACCTTAAGCTGACAGCTGCTCAAGACAATAGTCTCCTCGAAGGCAGGGACGTTCACATACATTTCCCAGCAGGAGCTGTACCCAAGGATGGTCCTTCAGCAGGTGTAACACTAGTGACTGCTCTGGTTTCTTTGTTCAGTCAGCAGAGAGTAAGAGCAGATACAGCAATGACTGGAGAAATGACTTTGAGGGGCCTTGTCCTTCCTGTCGGCGGCATTAAGGACAAGGTATAGTATTTCTTCTCTCCAAAATGATCTGAGAAAGTATTGTTGGCTGATTACTTGGATACTACTGAATGGTCGTGAAATTTTGATGTTCAATGAAAGTTTTGTAGACCCTGATTCGCTATTGGTCTGGTTGGGGAAGGAAGGGGTTTGGATGATATAGAATTAAATGGAGTTGGAATGTTTAACCACTGAGTTTGCTGTTGCAATTGCAGATTTTGGCTGCTCACCGCTACGGCATCAAGAGAGTGATCCTCCCAGAGAGAAACTTGAAGGACTTGGCTGAAGTACCAGCTGCTGTTCTCAGCAGTGTAGAGGTAAATTCACGTTTACTTCAGCATTTTCCCTCCATGCTGAGTTGGCCCGCAACGAACGTATTTTTCAGCAAAGTCCGTCTACAACCGAACAACTTTGGCACCGGGTGACATAGTTTAGTCTCTTTCGGTTGGTTTGTGCTACAGAGAAGTACTCCGATCGACCGGCTGGTGCAGAATCTAACTGGATGGGCATATGATTACATGAAAAATAAATTACACTTAAGGACCCATAATAAAATTGAAAATGCATGTCATTCCAACTTGGTCTGGTTGTTTGTTTCTCTGCTCCTTATTTTAAAGACGACCATGAAGTTGAAGCCATAAAAGAAGAATCGTTAATTTGAGAACTGAAACCATACAAGATTAAATTCAGTTATGGCCTGATTTGATCCGAATGTCGATTTAGTCACTTGTTTACACTTTTGAATTTCACCACACTAGAGCTTGATCATACATGTCGTCGTTTACAGATTCTGCTGGCAAAGAGAATGGAAGACGTGCTGGAACATGCGTTTGAAGGTGGCTGTCCGTGGAGACAACACTCTAGATTATGACGTCAATAGAAGATAATTTATACTCCTCCAATACAATACGGACATGATTCTAGCATCGCTACTGCTGTTGTCATTGCTTCACACGATCAAACGCACTGGCTTCTGCAGCTTGCCAGCAATCACAGGGATCCGACTTTAAGCGGGCGAGAAGACTCCTTCGCTGGCATAAAAAGAGGGACAAAGAGAGAAGAAGGTGTGAAGAGAATAGCTGATGCCAGATGATATAACCCTCTTGTCAAATGGTTCTTGTCGAGATGTGCAGACAGTACAGGTTTAAGCTGTGTATATGTGAAACCCTTGCTAATGATGTTGCGGCCGGTGGCCACACACACTCTTACTCCCAACAATTTGCTGTGTAATGTGTAGTGCTTTCTCCTGATACTATACTGTATTGTTGGCTTGGACATGTATCGTTGTAATCTATAACATATTGACGTCTTTTAGAAAGGACAACTCGTTCCATCTTAGAAAGGAAACAACTTGAATCCAAAACGATATATTGAATACGCTAAGGTGTGAACCTCGAACTCGGGTTGGTGCAGAATGATGAACACAAGGAAAAGAGCAATTGGCTATGAATCGAGGACAATAAAACACAAAATAAAAACATGGGTGATAACGAAACTAAGTTTGTAATATATGATGGGCCAGATGCAAAATAAAAATGAGATGGAACATTCCCAAGTTTCCAGCATCTCAAAGGTGGTCTTTTATACTCCTTTTATTTAGACTCTGGAAACCATCTCAAAACATGATTTTCGTTCTCGTCGCTAACGAAGAGACATCAAACAGTAAGGCAATGTTGATACCATAATGGGGAAACAAAAAGAAACGGAATGAGAAACAGAGCATGCTTATGGGGTTCGGAGCCCATTAACCCGTGAGAGCCGAGTTCATCGCACTGTAGACATCCACTCCAATCTGCGCCTCGGCTTTCTCCAGGTCAGTTGAAGCAGAACCAAGCTTCTGAGTGAACTCTGCTAACCCCTTCTGGACCAAGTTCGAGTCAAGGTGATCAACAGGTACAGCCTCGACTGCAATCACATCAGCAACTGAGTTCGCATGGATGAATGCAAACCCGCTGCTGACGAAGTACTTCGAAACATCGGTGCCTTCGTGCACGGTCATAACCCCAGGTTTTAGCTCCGCAATGGTGGGGACATGGCCAGGCAAGACACCCATTTGCCCCGTCGTTGCTGGAACGATGATCATGTCAACCTAATAAACGTTCAGACAAATATTATGCAACCATAGTTTAGAATATCTAATGGAAAGAAAAAGCTAAGCCAATGGAGCAGAAGCATTATGTATCCATTGGATCTATGGATGAAAGCTTACAATCATAGTTTAGAAAAGCTATGGGAATGAAGCAGTAGAAATTTACAATTCTCAAACCATCCACGTATTTAGAGTGTCTATTAAACAGCTTCATATTATGAAGTGAAGACCCATAAAAACTACTCTAAGAAGGGGGGAAAAGGCTAGACTAGGCAACTGATTCTCTTCAAGCCCGCATAAAGTTTAACCAAAGATTAACCAAGTCAAATCATGCACAAACAGTTACAAAAATGCAGATGTCACATGCTCTCAGTATCCTGGAGATGTTTCCCCCCTTATGTATGAACTTCCATGAAAGACTTGAAACGAGAAAAGTATGGACAGTTTTGTTAGCAGTCTAAATTAAAGACTCAGATTGCTCCCAGTACCATTGTCAGCTGCCATTGTTACTTATCCAATTTCAAAAGACTCAGATTGCTCACAACACCATTGTCAGTTGCCATTGTTACATATCCAATTTCAAAAGACCAAAATGTTCATTGAACATCCTCAAAGGATCTATCATTTGTTCACACCAGGTCCATGATTCAAGAAGGAAGGTGGAGCACATTTTCACAACTGAAAAAGCATTTTGCACTAACTTTGCAAGACCGGCTTCTATCAATGCAAACTCTAAGCTACGGATGCCAATTCAAGCTCAAGCCCAGCTGCAATCATGATTGAATAGACAGAAGCCAAACAGAAAATGGGAAAAGAGAGGTAACAAGCTAAAACTAAATCAACTAGAACCCTCGGGAGCTGCGAATCAATAGCAATTGGCAGCATTGTATACAGTTAAGAAACGGCCGAACTCCAGTCCCAAATCGAGTAATCTTCAATTCGCATAACCACATCAATAATTCACTGCACTTCGTATCTGGCATATACGGAAAACAAAAAACCCTAATTGCATACATCAATCGAAACAAATGCCTAGACGGACAATCAAACGAACACCCACGAAATGCCACAAACCGAATCAAACCCAGGTCAGAAAACCCCGACGAGATCACCCTACAACTGAATCTGAGAAACAAAACCGAATCGATAAATTCTAACCTCTTTCTCCGAGAGCTGGGAAGCGTAGGGAAGGACGAAGTTGACGGTCAGCTTAGTCGGAATGGCGGAGGCCGTGGGCGGGCGAGGCTTCATGTACGAGGACGGAGTCTTGGGTGCATCAATATGGGGGATCACCTTCTTCCAGGATTGGGCGAAAGGCGAATCCTCCGTTGGCGTGGCCGAGACATCGGTGGAGAAAGCGCGAGCGGCGACCTTCGTCTTGGTGGGCTGTTGGTGAGCGATCGATCGGGACAGAAGACGGCTCGCCTGACGGAACATCGTTTGGCCTGGTGGTCGTCGGCGGTGGAGATTAGCGAAGGAGGAGGAGGAGAACGGCGAAAGGAGGGAGGCGCTCGCTTTGCGACACTATGGAAGAGATCAGGTAAAAAAGGTACGCTCTCGTTGTGGTATATAAGATTTTATTAGGAGGGAAATGGTAAAATGTGAAGTACTATGTTTTTGGAGGGTTGATTTGAGTAAAGTGAAAACTTTAGGGGTGTAATTAATAATTGAATATAATGATTAATGAGGTAGTTTTGGACCTTTTGGCTAGAAAGACTAAGGAGGTCTAATTTAAAATTGATGATTAAGAAGTGAGATCAATTTTGATATTTGAAGTGTATGAGCTTGGCAAAAGATGTGAAATAGTAAGTTTTCAATTATAAATACCAAGATATTAACAGAAAAAAATTCCAATGCTTATAGTTCGGTACATCTAATGCACAATAATGGGTTGATATATTTTATTTTTAGTTTTCATTTTTATTTCTTTGCGAAAAAATATGAAACTAGATTCTTCCTCTCATATGAAGGTTTTTTTCAAGGATTAAAGTATCATACCGTACCAACGGTTCGACATGAAAAACCTCCTACCGGAAGCAAAATCGGTAGGCGATATTTAGTAGTATAATATGGTTGAACCATGATTAAACCACAATTTTCGTATAAAATACCCTACCGCTTAATTTTCCTGTACGACCTCCGGTACGATATTTCAATCTTTGGTTTTTTTCACACTACTTTAAGGTAAACAAGGAGACACCAAAGCCATAAATATCACACATAGATAAGGAAAGATTCAACACTAATAGCTTATTATGCGAGTATAAGTCCTAACTATTAGTTGATATCGTTGATCGAACTAAAGAAACAAATATGAGTAAGTACTAAAGGAGTATAACATACCCACTAAATACCTATTTAATACTTGTGTCACTTGACATAGTGATATTGTCCAAGTACATATATATATATATATTAGTATTTGTTTCACTTCTAAATGGACACCAACCGCACCATGTCATATAATCCAATCTTGAAGCATGCTACTGATTTCTATCACACTAAGAAGTCAAAAGTTTTTCGTTCAATTTGCTGCTTCAGTTGCTTTCAAAAAATGCGTTCAAACTTCTAAGTCCAATTGAACACATGTACAAGAATACAGTGACTAGATTGATATTTAACCCAATCTATTCTCATCAATAAACTTAAATGGGCTCGAACGTAAGGGCCCTCGAGTAATCCAAGTGGCCAACTAGCTGGTGAGCAATCATTCATGTAGGCCACAATGCAGCCTATGCAGGTTGGCCCAGAACCTTCCACAAACCGGCCTGCATTATTAATTTATGGGCAATTACAATTGTCATATCGTAACCCAATCAATGGCTTGGGATAGGGTCAGTAACTACTGACCTATCAGTAACCGCACGGAAGCTGTAGATCTGGGAATGGAGCAATCGTGTGGTTGGCTGGACGCGGGGGTGGGGAGGGACATTTTTGTCCATTTTTGTATTTTTATTTATTTATTCCGCATTTCAATGACTGGCTTTTCAATAAAGAGAGAGAATGACCTACTCTCTGCAACTCTACTTTCTTCCTTTTCTTTACCTTATCTCTTCCTTTTTCCCAATCTCTTTCCAGATCATTTCTCTTTCTCTATTTCTTCTCTCACTTTTTCTCTCACAATCTCCTTTTCAAATCTAGATCTGCTCTCTTCCATCTTCATTTTTTTTCTCTAGCAATCGACGAATAAAAATTGAAGTCACCCTCTTTGCGTTTCTTCTCTTCATCAACTCATTGGCTTTAATTTCGATCTTTCTCCTTTTTTGGCGTTTGGTGTTCTTTGGTTGCGGATGAAATGAGATGAGACAGAAAACAAGTTTTTTTTTCACTCCCTCCTTTTGTTTTTTCCCCTTTCTTTTAGGTAATATATATTGGTATTACCACACTATACCATATGGTATTATGTGGTAACGAAATATATATTGGTATTACCACTCTATACCATATGGTATTATCACTCTATATCATATGGTATTTGGTGGTAACGAAATATATATTGATATTACCATACTATACCATATGGTATTGGGTGGTAACGAAATATATATTGATATTACCACACTATACCATATGGTATTGGGTGGTAACGAAATATATATTCATGTGGCAAAAAATTTCATACTATATGGTATGCTCTTATTTAATACCAGTCAATACCATATGGTATAGACTGGTAATAACTGACAAATTTTTTTGTGTCCAAAAAATATCAAAGTGGATATCATTTTGAAGAGCACAATTAATCTGATCTAACTGTGCAAAAAAAATTTTTTGACTTAAAACGAGTGAGAAATCGTCCGTTAAAAATTAAGAGAAGGAAAAATAAATGTTTTGCGAGGAGAGAGAATGAGGAGCTGATGCGGTCCGGTCAAAAGTCAGCATCAGCAATAAATAGGAGTAAGTGCAATTTTACCGCACGTGGGGACTAGGGAAGGGGTTACTGATGGGTTACTGACCCATCAGTTACTCACCCGATCTGGACCCCCAATCAATTAATGGCTAAATGACATGTTTGGTTACTAAGTTTATCAATTTGTTTCAATATTTCTTTCTCAAGATATAACTAGACTGAGAAAATAGACCAGACCGTAGACCGTGAAAAATGGTCTAGTCCGGTTCGTGGTCTGTAATATATAAAGTTTTGATCTCTTGGTCTGGTCTGGTCTAGACCACAATTTACTGGACCAAACTGTGAATCTAGCCAACTTCCCAATATATGTTAGTACCCCACTCGACTACTCTCCCAACTCCCCCCAACGAGACTCATGTCTCAACCTTAATTTTGAGAATCCCGTCCTCTCCTTCACTGACAACCACATTTTACTAGAGAATAGAGACGATCGTGTCACTATATGACATTATGTTAATGTTTGTGACGTTATGGTGCGAGTTGAGATTCTTTAACTTTGTATCTTTGTTATTTACTAAGATTTAGGGGGTTAAAATTATTCATGCATGTTGGATTTTATGTTGTAAGGCAAAAAACATTTTTTCCCTTAGTTATTGGTTCAATTTTTAGTGTGGTTGACTTAACAAAGTGTTCATTGTGATTTATCTGTACCAGACCGCATAGACGTGGTCTGGTTTGGACTGTATAGTATGTGGTATGGTCTCTGGTCTATATATTAGTCTCTCGGTCTGGACCATAGACCATCTATATGGTCTGATCCGGACCAGACCGCACCGCACCGCTTCCCAGCCCTAGACATAACAAGAGAGAAAATTAAAACAAAAGTAATCCAACACCCTTAAGGCTGAGTCCAATGGGCACCCCATTTATGGGGGGATCTACAAAAATGAAGGAGGAGATGGTCCAATGGGGAGGTTTGGGGTGCCAAAAATGGAGAAGCCTGCAAATGGAACCCGAAATTTGGGAGCGGAAATGGGGGATCCCCCAAATATAGAGACTCCCCAAAGCCCGTCACGTGGCTTTTCTTTTTCTTTTTAAGATTTTAGGCGTTAATTGGGGGTTTAATTAGGGGATTAGTTAGGGATTTAATTAGATCAATCATTTTCAAGTGTTGTGTGTAAACCCAAATTAGGTACAAATTATATTAAGACTAGTAGTCATACATTTATAAGTAAATGAAAAAACTAGAAAAATGAAAATCCCCAACTATGAAAATTGAAGCATTAGAGCATAAGAATGAAAAATGGATATCAATCCCCAAATTTGGGGATGAAGGCCCCAAATTTAGAGTTTTGCATTGAACTTAGCCTAAGGCCTTAACCTAACAAAGCCTCCCAATACAACATACTAGTAAATCCACCATAAAAAGACAAAGAAAGCTATTTATAGAGGAGACATCAATTACGCTTTCTGTGCCAACTTTATTGGCAACCTAGTTTGAAACTCAGGGCCGTCCCATGATATCCGGAGGCCCTGTTCGATAATTTAAAATGTGGCCCTAAAATATTTTCTTGCAAATTTATTAAAAATAAAAATTATTAAATAATAATAAAAATTATATAAGTACAGAAAATGATTACAAAAGTAATAATATTATCTATTATTGTTCAAAAAGTAACAATCGCTCCCACCAAAAAAAATAAAAGTAACAATCGCCTAGTATTAATTGAAATAAAATTATGTATTACCCCTTCCATCTTCTCTATATCTTTTGAAAAACGAAATCAGACCATCTATTTCTAAAATAGCATCATCAATAAACATATCTTTGGATTGTAAATGTTTACTAACCAAATTTGTTGACTGCAATATTTCATACATGATTAAAAATTATAACCAAAGATTTATGATTTCAAATTTTCAATCAATATTAAGTTCCCTGTTAAAGAAAAAAAAGGTTAGAACTTGAAAACAAGTTCATTATGAGCCCGGATAGTAGGGATTGCCATTGATTAGGAGTTAATTAGAATTGGGTGCGAATAATTAATATTTAGGCGTTGGATGATTTTGGGAAGGTGAGAAATTTTGGGAAAAGAGAAGAAGAAAGGCTTAAAATCTTTACCTGTTAATTTAAAATCATCAAACAACTTCTAGCTTAGTGGTTGAGTTTCCTTTTCCATGGAAAGGAAATCCATGGTTCGATTCCTAACCTTGGAGTTTTTGTGTGGCTCCGCCTGTTAAGGGTTGGGCCTTGCCAGCCCAAGAGGTGCGAGGTTGTGGGCCTCGTCAGCCGCTTCAGTGTGTGGCTCCCGCCTGCTTAAGGGTTGGGCCTTGCCAGCCCAAGAGGTGCGAGGATTTGGGCCTCGTCAGCTGAAGATGTCTGCCGCTTTAGGGCCTATATATTATGAGGCCCCCAAAACTTGAGGCCCTGTGCTGTGGGTCTGACCAGCACAGGGTCTGGGCCGGGCCTGTTGAAACTCGTGGGACGTCCCTGAAGACTATTATCGAAAAGAGACTAGCTGACAACACTGCCGAATAGAGGTGTTCAAATGGTTAATTTGGTAATAACCAAACTAATTAAGTCTAAATTTAATTAACCATGGAATAAAATGTCTTAATCAAATCGTCCAAATTAACACGAAACCCAAATTAATCAAACCAAAATTTAATTGGTTTGGTTAATCGGATAATCGGATTAACCAAATAATATTACATACCAATACCATTGTGAATAGTTGGCTTACAACAAACCCCTTAACATAAATACATTACCAATACCCATCATCAGGAAGTTAAACCTCTCATAC